ACACATCTACACCAGGCCTTTCAATCCCAAACTACATGGTCCTAGTTTTCGTATTCTCTAATTAGACTGCAGCAACCACTAAGTCTTTACATATTGACGTTTGAATGCCATCCAAAGTGGACAATTTTGTGATCTGATCACCGGTTTGCATATACGTGACTGGACGTAAGGTATTTTAGGATGAAAATTTTTGTATATTTCCATATATCAAAAATATCAATACCGCCAGAGCATCGGCACAGAAATCCCAAGTAAGTGATTTTACTAAGGCATTCTGATCCTGAGCTATATAGCTCTGAGACCTTATCACAGAAATCCTATTTTTTTCGAGTTTTGGTTTGGATTTTTGATTTTTTGGGTTTTTTCTAACTTTTATTAATTTCACAAAAATTTTTCAACTTCATCATTAGTCAAAATTAACCCTGTTATTCACTAAAAATATTGTTTCCACCCTCAACCACGGTTACAAACGATGGAGCTGTGGTACCACAATACACGCAATATCAACGCGACCGAGACAACAGGGCTTTTAGCTCCGTATCCTGTTACAGAAAGTTAGGAAGACGGTTCAAATAAACAAACCAGCAAGCTGTATGTTACCACGCGGTTTAGCACCCAAATATGCCAGGTTAACATTTGCTTTGCGACCATCAATGATTGGATTTGGATCCTTACAGGCACGATCGGCAGCCGCTCGATCCTTCATTGTTACCTGAAATTATGCGATGAATAAAATGTGACCTCTGTCATTAAGCAGTCAACCATTTCATATTACATGTAGTGAATTCTTCATCATCTGTAAAATTGGTTCTTTTATGATTCGGCCTTCCAGTGCTTCCGCTTTCCGAATCTGATCAGTTCGATGTTAATGCCATCACTGCTAGGAGCCTTTCCACTTTTCAGCTCTGCTTTATCTCGTTGATAAGCTACTACTTTTACACTGTTTGTGTAGCATTGAGCTTGAAATATGTTAAATTATCCTTGCAAGTGAGGTTGGAAATCCCTTCTGTAAAACACATAATCCAATTGTACGTTTTAAGTGAAATAAATGATGGATCAGCCAGAAAAAACAAATATATTTTACACATATTTTTTCCCGCTGACCACTCTCCACATATCTGCATATAAAATTTTTGTTGAAAGAGATTCTCATGCTAAATACATAATCCATTTATGTAAAGTGTACGCTTTGCTATAATTGCTCGATTACGATATTAGAAAGTAATGTTCTTCGGCATACTTAGAACCATGAGAATTTTTTGCATCCCCCTGTGCCTGGAAAATGCTTAATCCATTGTCAACCACGGTACCTGGATCGAAATCCGTGGAAGCGGTTTTCAAAATCAGCGAGATGCAGTGGGGAATTTTACTAATTTCGACTTATTACAAGAGGTAATCCACAAATGAAGCAAGGAAATAGATGAGGTAAAAAACACAAATGAGGTAAAGGTAAGACGAAATTAAATTACAAATAAGGCAAGGATTTGACGAGTTCTTAAAATGAGTACCATGGATAAACACTGGTGGGTCCAGGGAGATCTTTCGCCCCCCAGGGGCTTAGGAAGCAGGTATTTTACTTTAGAAAAGTCTACTTGAAACCCTCTGTCGCTCCCCCCTCAGGAGCCTTCGAAGGGGCGGAATTGGGAGGACCGGGTGGAGAGAGGGAGTAATGCGGCGAGTGAAGGGTGAGTAGGAAGCCGCCAGAGGACGAGGGACTGGGGGGGGGAGGAGTGGGGCAGGGGAGTGTTGTAGTGATAAAGGAAGAAGATGAGGTGGAAAACCGCCCTGGATCCGCTTATATGAATAAATGAGTACCATGCATTGCTAGCTTATCAATAAAAAGCAACACATGGACGGTGTTCACCATCGATACGTCAATGAGCGTAAAACTTACAAAACCATATCCGCGACTTTTCTGGGTCTGTCGATCGGTGATAACAACGGCTTCTTCAATTTCGCCGAACTGCTCAAAATACTCATGAAGTGTCTTATCAGATGTATGATACGGTAATCCACCAACGAAAATTTTCGTGAATGTTGTATCACGCGGGCCTGCAACAAACAAACTGCCGAAATGTGTTACGATTTATTTCTCCTCGCATAAAATGCCCGAAAAATTTGGATAATGTTCTCTCCTACACATTCTTGTTTCACAGGAACGTAGTTGAGTTTTTTTTTTCCACATTTTATGATTTTCAGAAACAGGCGTACTGTACAATGTAGTAACAGGACTGTTAATAAAATAGCAAAATTTGTAAACCATCAGTTTTATTAAAAGATAATAAAAAAGCTA